GTACAAAGGGGCATAAATTTTTTTTTATTTTTTATTTCTTTATTATCTGTTTGCTTGTTTTAAAATTCCAATCCATTATTATTGAAAAAGATAACACAAACAAATGTTTTTTTTTTTTTTGAAGTTTCATTTTCATTGATAAATATTCCAAGAAAGTGACCAAAACAATTTTCAGCCCCGTGAATACCAATACTTGGCCTTAGTCGGTCTGGGCCAATTAAGCCCAACTAAAATTTATCTTTATTTTGGGCCCAAATGAGTAGGCCCGAACGTGAAGGAGCCTCCTAATGAATATTCATTGGCCCGTGGGCCTTACATGAAATTGTGGTTTTCGAGTGTTCAACAGAAGTTGGCTCATGATATATACACCTCCTTTTTTTATAAGTACACTTTCTTTATATTTTTTTAAAAAAATTATAAAATTTTTTAATTTTTTTTAATTTTTTTTTTCTAATTTTACATCTTTAACTTTCAATTTGCTACTTTCTTCTTTCTTTTTACACACTTTTTTTTCTTTTTTAGTTTTCACATGCTACCAAAATAGGTAGGGTGAAAGAAAGGTAAGGAGTACATGTAAAAATTGAAAAAAAGAAGGAAGATGTGTGAAAAAGAATTACTAAATTAAATGTAGTAGATGTAAAATTAAAAAATTAATAATTAATAATTAAAAAATTAAAAATATTTAAAATTTTAATTATTTTTTTAAAAATAGGAGGTGTATTTATAAATTAAAAAAAAAAAAAAGAGGTATATATATCATGAACCACATAAATTTGATTTAATTTTAAGTGATACACAAATTCATTGACCCAAAAAAAAAATAAACGATGATACATGTATTGGAATACGTTTTATAACAGAAAAAAAAAAAAAAAAAAAAAAAAAAACGTTTTTACATAAAGATGGTAAACTAAAATAAAATCACTAGTAAGTTTCCAATAAGGGGTTCAAGACCCAGCTATAGAATATTCATTTCCCATTTCCCTTATTATTTATTAATGTTTAGTTTGAAAAAAAGAAAAAAAGAACAATATTTTATGTTTATAAACGTTATAATATTTGTTTTGAGTGGGATAATATTTATTAAGAAGAATTTTTTTTTTCTTTTTTGTTTTATCAGTTATTTATATATATAACTTTATAATGATAAGATATTGTTCATTTTTAATTTAAATCCTCATAATTTAACTTTTTGGTTATCACTTAAAAAATCTAATATTAATGTAGTGTGTACATTTTATAAATTCTTATTTCTCCTCTTATTTTAATATGTGAGACATTATTTATATTCCAACATCACTTCTTCTTCTTCTTCTTTTTTTTTTTTTTTACTTTTTTGCTTTAATGTTTGCATAAAATTACAGTGGGGAAAACCCACTCGTACAAACATGGAAGACAATGTCCATCTTGTATTCCTTTGTAAGTGATTATTATGATGAAGGAGACTTTGAAAGGCAGAAAAGCAAATTATAGGTACTTGACCTAGCCTGAATTTTGGGCACATGCTAATGTTTAGGTTCAACGTTTCCACAAAGAAATGATAGTAATGGGAGAATTGGCTTCCTTGTTTTACTATAAAGCACTTTGTAAAACACAAGTGTAGGAGAAAAGAAGAACACTTTGCACAATTACTCATAATCCCATTGGCATCAAAGTCAATCATTGTTACCAAACTGTTCACTAAGCAGAGGAGAAGACCACAACACAGTTCCCCCTCCCCTCTTGGAACCTCTAGACAAAAATCCTTTTCATAATATGCCAATTCAATTGGCCAAAATCCAAATTCCTTGCAAGTAGATGTAGAAATTCTTCTATTATGAAAAGGAGGCATATGTGCCAAGTTTTAAGAGAGTGTGCTTGTGATCACATTTTGGCCAGGAATGCTTATGCCTCTGAATGAAAACTTGATTCGGTAACAAATTTTAAAAGATTGGCATTTAGCACCTTTCTCAATCAATCATCAAAATCAACTATATTCTTCTTTAAGCAGAACCTGAACCTGAACCTGATTCCAACTCTATTATTGTGGCCCAAAAGCCCACCTCTATTGGGTAAACTTGAAAGGGTCTAATAATCGTTATCACTTGAAAGCCTCAATAGAACTTTACCTCTAAAATAATGCAAATAAAATATACCTTCCATGATTGGACATCAAGGGTTTACTTTATTTTACCTATTGGTATAGTATAAGATTTATATTCTAATAATTAAAAACTCAACATAAAATGTGCTGCAAAAAAAAATAATAATACGAAGTAACAAAATAAAGGATTTATGTTATTAGAAATAATGTTAACAAAAATACACCAATATGGAAACATACTGTTTACTTTCACTAGCATAGTTCAAAGTTTGAGTCAGCATTTTAAGAAAGTAATTTTCTAAATACACCAACTCTATATGGGAAGAGCATTATTAAAAAATAATCCAAAAACTGGGTTGAAATTTGTTTTTATAATTTCTACAACTAAGTATTACAGGCATAGACACTGTATACAGTAAAGAGATAATAGGTGATATACAATGTGAAATCATTCCATCACAAATTATTATTTATAATAAATAAGAAAAAATATGTTAATAGTATTATTTATTGATTTACGGTATCAAGTCACTTTATACTATAACAATTAAAATCTATGACAAATAGAAAAACAATTGTGATATATTGTGTTTGAAAAATAATTGAGCGGGTAACTTATTTTTAACACTTGTGTTTCATAAAGTACTATAAAGATTTATGGATAAAAATAAGTGAAGTTATTTAACTGAACATATGACTTAATCTATACTAAATCTATCTTAGGTCAGACTTTTTATATAAAAAAATCAGACCAAGACTTTTATTAATGTCCATTTAAAAAATTTATTTGATTTAACATGACAATCTATTTAAATAAAATAAAATAAAATATTTTTATATCAAATTTATTATAATATATTATCTTTTAAATATTAAGCATATTAACTTATATAAAAAGTAAAAGTTATATGTTTATTGACAAATAAATTTATGTCCTATTTAGTGATCTTATTACAAAATATATTTTTAAATAAGTTATTATTATAAATATCATATAAACAAGTTAATTTTTTTATAAAATCTAGCATATATTTTCATTTTTATCATATAAACAAGTTAAAATTTTCATATATGTAGACGTTTAAAATTACCTACAACAAGCAAACAAATTGAACTTAAACCATGTATTTTCAACTTAAGTTAGATTTAGGCATGAATCTCATCCAAGTTAGTTTATTTTCATTTGTAAACGTATATAAATAAAAAAAAAAAAATAAACACACTAGTAGTTGGTATATAAATGTGATGTATTGTATTTAAAGAATTAATTAAGTGGATAACTTTTTCAATATTGTGTACGAGATAATTTCAAATGGTGGGAAAATCAAAAGGACTTTTCCTTTGTTTTTGAAAGGTGGCGTAACCAAAACTAAGAGTGTATGTTACCCTATATTTTGTCCTTACAAGTATGGATAATGATGATAGACGGTTGCTTACTTATGTAAGTTCTCATATTGTTGATGATATACGATTTAACATGCTATAGACTTTGACCTACGTAAAGCCAAAATTGAATAACCACAAGCAAATTTAAGTTCATCCAAAATCCATTTCGGGTTTAAATAAATAAGTCACACAAACTCATAATGGGTACCACTTGGAAGTTTGAAGCAAAAGATAACAATGAATTGAACCATCAAAACACGTTTAAATTTACAATAATAATTAATTATGGTTTTGCCGACCATTGATTCTAGAAGGGAAGACAAATTAAAAATAATAACAAGAGATTATCCAAAAGTTGGAAAAGTAATAGAATTTCATCTACCCACATAAACACACTTCTTCACACACGTAGTCTCATCCACAATTCCTAAAACCCCAACCAATCAAATTCTCAATCAGAAAACGAACTCCCAAAATAATTTTGATTAGCACTTGAAGAAGGGATTATCAACCACGCAATTCAACTCCCTTTTGGGCACAAAATAGATATCATTATCCAACATAATGAATCACGTTTTGAACTTATTTAATCTCCCAAAAGGACTTCTAACCTCTCGAATAGCCTCAATTTTTTATTTACCTTAAATCAATGCTTTGCATTGACTTGTTAATTAATATTTTGTCGAGGCTAAGGTAAAAATTGAATTTAGGGTGAGCGTTTGGGAGCACCATGTTTGAGGCCACGTGGTGAAGGAGAAAAAATGCAGAGAAAATGCCTCCATGAGGGTGATGTTTAATAGTGTTAGGCATAGAATAGTGAAAGTGATAGATCACTAATTAGTTGTCTGCCTTCAATTTTAGAAAGAGTGGCATAATTGTGCGGGTAACATTTCCAACTACCTGAAATTATTGTAATCTCCTGAATTTTTTTATATGTTTTATTTACATATATGATTTTAATTAATGAGATTTTTGAAATATTATACGAGGAGATATGGGGGAATTTATGGGTTATACCAATTTTATAATTTTATTATTATATAATGGAAGGGTTTTATAATTAAGGTTAGAAAAAATTTAATCAGAAGAATTAAAGTGAGGTTGAGTTATATTGTTTTGTTTTATTAAAAGTTAGTAGTTATGGGGGGTTATGTCTTATGCTCCTCATTCTTTTTCATTTTTGAGAATTGAAGAACACGGAGAAGAGAATGCAAGAATAACGAAGTTAGATTTTGTACTCTTCTTATGAGCATGAGATGTCGAGTTTGAGTTGTATGTATGGTAGAATTCATGTTTGGTATTACACTAATGAATTTAAGAATGCTTGTGGATAATGTGAAAACTCTTATTCTACATGAAATTGTTTGTAATTAGTGAATTGTGTGAAATTATAGTGTAGTTTGATGTTATAATTGTATGGTTGATCATGAGGAGCACTAGTTTAAAGAAATTATCAATTAATTTAAAAATTGGAAATTTGGCATGATAAAATGAAACTCACACTTTGTGTAGTTCATCACGAACTACGATAATGCTAGGCGCAAGGGAAGGGGTGTCAAGCATGAGAGTCATAGAGAGCAAGGGTTACCCTTATGGCGATAATGTGAAGTGTGTGAACTCCAAGGGTGTCTCAGTTGGTAGGGATGGTCATGGGTAGGGTCTTATAGTACCCGTCCTCATACCTATGTTTAAAAATAATACTCGTACCTAATCCATATTCACGCAAGTAATAATTTTAATTATCATCCTCGTAACCACTAAATACCTTTATATCCATATCCGCACATACAATTCACATTTTACTTATATATAAAATAAATATATAAAAAAATAAATAGCATTTTATACAAACAAATATAATATTAATTTGTTAGGTCTTTAACATTACAAAAATTTAAGATAATAATTCTTATAAATAAAGATTACAAAACATTCAATTCTTGTAAATAAACTTTAAAAAAAATCAACATAATAAAAGTTGTAATAAAACTTCTAACATCATGATCATGTGCTAACAATATTCTTCAAAACTTATGAAAAACATTGTACAAGAATTAGTTAGATTAAATTATATACTATAAATTTTAAAATATAAATATGTAGACATTTGTCCTTTATCATTGGGATCAACTTCTATGTATTTTTGTAAACATTATCTATATATTGTTTTGGTCTAGTAATACAAATAGAAACTACATGACAAGAAAATGAATGATTAGATAATTTCAATAAATAATTAAAATCAACAATAAAAAGAAAATAACTTGTTAAATAAATAAATTTTAATTATTTATTATCTTGTTGCATGTGTTTTAACCAACTTTGTGTACACATAAGTGTTTTCATAGTAAATTCATGAAGCCTAGAATGATGAAAATTCAAAAATCTACCTCTTGTGCTAAATGCAAATTCTGAAACTACGACTGAAATTGGGATTACCAAAACATCCTTAATATTGCAAGAATTGGACAACCAATAACATATACTAGGTAGAGAACTAAAAAATTATAAAGGAACCTCTTAATATTGCAGATGTTGCACCTAAGACAAAGAGGTCAAATAAGAGCTTTTGTTCTGGAAAAGGAAAATAGCAAATTATTGAGGTTAAAGTTAACAAAATATTAGAAGAACCTAAAAAGGAGTTAGAAGGCATTGATTTTGATGAGTTAGAAAATGAAGAAGTTGAACGATAAGCCTCATTATCAAATGAATATATATATATATATATATATATATATATATATATATATAATATATGATAATCTCAACACAAATA